TCGGAAGATTGGATGATTTTGTTGGCAGGAATTACCGGAGGCATACTATTCTCTGTTTCTGCGTGGGTTTGTGCCAGGTCATGATTAGGAAAGGGAGAATCTTGATTAACCCTATTTCCCTCAGGAACAACCACACGAGGGGGATGGATGGCATTGTCTTGATCCTTTTCAGCTGAAACCCTCAAACCTTCATCTTCATCTTTACTTTCACTGTGTGCCAAATCTTGACTTGGAATGGTGTTTATAGATTTTATGGTTGTATCTTCACCATCCTCAACCGCTTGTCCATCTACAAACCCCTTCACCTGTTCATCAGGTTCTCCTCCAGCTTCTATCTCCCGGGCCCGTCTAGCCATAGTTTTGATTTCATGGATTTTGTCATTAAAATCAGAGGATTCAGCCTGGGAAGAATTCAAGATTTCCAAATTATTCCTTGAACCCTTCACTCTAGATATGCTGCTCATGAGTTTTTGCTGATCCAGCTTCGGCCTCTCAAAAGACACATGTGTCTCTTCCACATCCTCCCTTAAAACTTCCACAGTACCCTTCTTTAATGCTTCCTTTTCCTTCCAAGCCTTCATCTTCCTCCTCATCATCTGTTTCTCCAGTTCTGGGTATTCCATTTCTTTGCTATTGCCATACTTAAACGCCAGCTTCAGCACCCAAAATGCTACAAAACTGCAAATGACAGATCCTCCTATTGCCGGCAACTTATGAACCAAGTCAAGATGAGGAATTGCATTGTGAACTGAGCTAAAGAAATGAAACTCTTCCTTTGAAGAAACAAACTTGGCCACAGAACTGTCTTTCCGAATCACATTTTCCCCATTTTCCATCTGTTCAGCTAATTTCTTCGCATATATAACCTTAGAATTCATCGTGGGCAGGTCCTCGAAAGCCTGTCTTCTCCGTAAAATCTCATCTTTATCAACATCTACTCTCTCCACCTTACCATCCGAACCCTGGAAGACCGTGAAAATGGGACTTGAACCAATCCCCCAGTATTCTGCTTCCTTCTTATACTGAGAAACCCAATTCTCAAGTTCATTCAGAAGATTGGAATCTTCAGGGACTCCCTCTTTCAACCCCTCGGTATTCGTTAATTCAACCAAATCTCCACTCCCCTCAACACTATGATCGAAACTGCGATCCGGGTTTCGAGGTTTGGTACCTGCGTCAGAAGAATTGGGATTCAAACGCAAACTCTGATCGCCAATCAGCTTCTTCCTCAGAGAATTCCGCCGCCTCGATGTCACGCCGAGACGCGCTGAGACCTTGAGAGTTGGAGCGAAGTAACACGGTGATGAGCGAGTGTGGCGGAATTTGGAGATGGGCACGTAGAACCGGTGTCGGTTTTTCCTGTCGCTGACTTTCCAGGAAAGTTTAGACGAGAAAGACGAGGAATTGAAGGAACCATTAGGTAGGGCAGAGCTCAAAACCTCCATTGACGACCTCCCCAAGATGTTGAAGGGGATAAACTGTCAACGCGAAGAGAAGCGAGACACTAAACCCCCCGCCCCCCCTGGATTCAACGGAAAAGAAATCAGCTCAGACGACATCGTTTTATGCACACGACCGCCGTTTTTATTTTGCGACACTTTTTTTTTTTTTTTAAAACCATTTAGGAAAAAGGTTCGGCATTTACAGTTTCTAGTTACAGCAGATCGAAATGATCTGCAGGCATTCATGGATGGAGACTTCGAAAAAAAAAAGGACAAAAGCAATCAGGTTTAATGGTCGGTCTCTCTCAGGACAACCTACTTCCAAACTACAGGGAACACAAGAAGAAAGAGGAGATGATGCTGCAACCAAGTCAGTGAGGTTACAAGATCAAATCCAAATCTTTCAACTACACAGATTTGGAATACAAACACCAGCTTCTCCATTCTGCTGCTGTTCCTTCCAGATCCTTCCAGTGACTCGCAACTTCAACTCTTTCCTGTCTCCTCCCGAGAAAAACAGCGCCATGTTTCTCTGTATGATGAGCCCGTCATGACTGTCCCTCACTTTCCTGTGGCTGTCTCTTATGCTTCTCGGCGTTCCTTCCCATGTTAGCTTCCGGCCATACCCTCCTACCTCTAAGCTGTAACTGTAGTTCCTGGCCTCTGCCTCGTCCCCCATGAAGCGGAGAAAGGCCATGTAGACTGGAGCCATTCCGAGCTGGAAGGCTTCGAAATGAAGGCAGAAGTACTGACCGAAGCAGTGAAAGACCTGTTATATATCCAACCAAAACAGTAAAGGAGAGCCGAACTTGGTTTAGTATGTGCGGTTGGGAGATAACCAAGTCCCCGGTTTTTTATCTTTTGATCTGCAGAAGTTCCCACAAAATTCAGATTTGTAATCGATCTACAAACAGAAAACTTCAATGCTTGCCAAAGAAGATTCAAGCTTGGAAATGGTGTATTATTGATTAACTGAATAATAAGAAGTAAACCCGAAAAAGGATCAATCTTGAGTGGCATTAAGACTAGCAATGATGTTTGAGCATGATCGGGTTTCAGACATTGAATGGAGGCCATGCAGCAGATCTTTACATAAATGGTAGCAAGTATGGATGATCATGTACTTACAGTCAACATCCATGTGGCATTTTCCACTTCGCGAGGATTGGACTTCACATAACGATGGTTGAAAGTGCATCCAGAATGCATATCTACCTTGTGATCATCCCTCAGATGAGCAACAAGGTATGGGATATCGCCAGTGATAGAACACTCGGACCCGGCATATGGACAGTTGTAAGGTCTGAAGTTGCATACATTCTCGTGTTTGAGCTTACTGTAATATGGAAAGATTTCGGGGCAGCCAAGGTACATATATCTGCATGGGAGTTCAAGCGATTCTGCTACTTTTTCCAGTGCCAGACATCTTATATCACCAAGCTCCTGTCTACAAGTCGGACAACGGTTGTGGACCCGGGTTTTACAGGTTGAACACAGAGTGTGCCCATTGTGGCACTGCAGAAGAAAAGCAACTCATGGTGAAGGATCATTCGTAAACCTTACTGGAATAAGTTGGCAAAGAATGAATCAGATGAGATGGACTTTCTTGAAAAGAATTTGTACTACAAAGAAACAAGAAGAAATTTGAACATAGGATCAAAGGGTAGAAGAAAAGTTTTTATACAAGAACATGGACATCATCAAACCAGTGGCATCTACAATGCCATATCAGGGTCAATCATGAATGGTAAGTGGAACAACAACAGCGGAGGATCATACACAGATGCATGACCATGACCACGAGAGACATAATGCTACACTACAGTTACACTCTATCAATGGAAACTTGAAAATGAGAACTGGAAATCATGTGTAGTTCCTTGCAAATGCAAATTAGTATGACAACTATACTGTTGGGCAAACAACTGCATTCACAGATAAAGCATCAACAAAATTCATATCCTATGGTTCCGAGATCAAGGACCCTCTTTCAGAAGCCAATACACTGAATAACCCTCGCTTCAATATCCAAATACTAGACCCGAGAAGATGATATTTTACCAGTGACAGCACTTCACTGCTAGTATAAACTTCATCATGAGAACCGAAAACAGAACTCAAACAAAGATTTATTTAAAAAAAAAAACTTTGAAACCCGATGGCAAAAAAGAGCCAAACTTTCAAGAGGGGGCCTTCTTCTTACACCAAGTACAAGTATTTAAGAAACTGGTGCAGCCGGAGGAAGAAAAGGATAATAACAGAAAAACCTGAAATTTATTACTGAAACCTATGCTTAAAACTCTAGAAGCCTGTACCCAAAGGAATAAGAGGGAAAAGGGCAAGAGAAATTGGAATTAGTATATTCTAAAACGGGTAAGTTCCCTAAATGTTCGATATCAGACATTCAAAGCCCTCGAACCAATCAGCACAAGAAAGATCAGGCAGATCGAATCATATACACCAAAACTAGAACAAATCAACATGGGATTGAAGAACAGACCTGGTGAATCGGTGGGTACATAGAATTGGTGCAGACAGGACATTCAAGGAGTTCATGCACACTGGTAGTGCTAAGCCCTGCAGCATTCACGTTGCTGTTATTACTGTGATGCTTCGGGACCGAAGCGTACGGATGGCGATCCTGATGGATCTCTTCATCGTCCGTCACATCCAGGGATGGAGTACAGTCCATGCTCTCAAATTCCATCGAAGCTCTCAAATCCGAGAGAAACCACAGGAAAATCCGAGATTTTCCGGGATTAGCCCGGGAGAGGGTATGGATGGATTGTCTTCGATCAGGACGAAAATCAATTCAACGAAGCCATGGGTAAACCATCTGGGTATCCGGAATTCGGGCGAGACCCAGATCCAGCTCGAGGATTTTGGCCGAAATCCAAACAGGATATCAAGAAGACACGCGAAGAGAAAATGGGTCAACCCTCATGAACTACCAAAAAAAATATGCTTTCCTTCCATGAGCTCCGGGAGAGAGAGAGAGAGAGAGAGAGAGAGAGAGAGAGAGAGAGAGGGGGGCGTCGAATGAACGGAAGCCGGATGATCAAAATCAAACGGTTTCAGGGCGGCGAACGAAGCATGTATGGAAACGAATCATAGTTTAGGAGATTAGGCAGAATTATGACAGGAACCAAAAATCATAAACAATTATACGCTCCCCCTCAATGATTTCTTCTTTTAAATATTAAAATAGCACATCCGTTTTTTTCCCAAAAAAGAATAATTAATTTCGAGTTTTTCTTTTTTTTTTTTTAAAGTAATTGAATAATAAAGGGCCCCCGATGTAGTAAGGATGGGCCTGTGACTTGTAAGGTGCAGGTGCACACATGATTGTGCTAAGCACCTCCACTCCACACGTAAATTTGTCGTTGCATTTGCAAAATCTATACATTATTTCTATCCCTTAATTATTTATGTATTTATAATAAAAATTTCGAAGATATTTAAATAAATAAAACGTTAAGAATCAGATCTCTAGAACAAAAACAACATGGGCATCTTTCCTTAGGGTTTGATGAGAAAGATGGGGCACTACTAGCAAATGAAGCTTGGGTTCAAAGTCACTTCAAGATTATAAAAAGACCGATAATAATATCACACACAGACGATAATGCTTCCTCGTTTTCTGATTTATGAAGCAAAGCCACGTTTTCCTTTGTACTTCCCATCCATTATTCTCTCTTGAAAACGAAATATTGTACCATTATTCCTCCAATGATTTGTCCTCGACAACAACACGTGGGGAAAGTGACAAACAGAAATCCAGTTTGCTTGTCATTGAATCAAACAACTCTCACACTCTTCCTGTTGGGTTTTTGTCTGAGAAAACTAACAAATTTCAAAAAAACCTCTCTATATACAGAGCTTGCAGGCAAAATCTAGTAACCGGGTTCTCCACCGTTTTCGGGCATAAGACCAGTATGGCATCAGATTCTCCTCCTGGATAATAAAGAACTGAATATCTCTACTGGGAAAGAAAAGGGTTTTACCACTGGTTAGCAGATGATTCCCGGTGTCTCTCATCATCTTTCTGAGTCAGCTGTCTGGTTGCTGCACCTTTGGTTCGGTTGTTAAGCAGTCTCTGTGTTAACCTGTCTTTTGCTGTCACTTTCATATGCAACATGGAAGAAAGGGATTCTTTCTTGTTTCTTGCAGCTGCTAATCTATCGAACTCGTCATCGTCAACCACAGCAGCGGACCTTGAGGTCGAGGCTAGAGCAGCATCACGAAGAACTGAATCATTGTGTTGTCTGACCTTAGCAAGCTTTGCACGATTTGCCCTTTTCCTCATTTCTTCTTTGTCTCTCTCCCGGATATTCTTCACTGCTTGTTTTGCTACTTTCCTTGCCAAGTGATCATGATCGGTATCTGAAACTGTTTCATGCATAGGGAAATCCTGGTCGATTTTCTCTTCCGCGGAAGAGCTTACCCTTTCGTCCAATGAAGGCTCCTGAGAGATGGGATTTCCTTCATCGTCCCGAGGTATGATGGGTCCGTGAAAGGGGCAAACTCGTAGATCTCTTCTCTCACAAAGACCACCTTTCCTCAAAGGAGCACGGCATGGAAGAATCTCTGATCTATCTTCTTTATAAACAGTTGCCTGAAGATTCAGTTCTGCTATTTTCTCCGCTGGAATTACAGCATCTTGATCCACCCTGCCCCAGTGGCTCTCAAGCTCCAGGCCCCGGTGGTTAGCTAGAACTTCTGTGGTAGAGTCCCAATTACTCAGCTGTGATCCCCATTTCACCAGTGGAGCTTCCGCTAATAGCATATCCCTAAGAGACCCTCTTCTGTTTTTGTAATCTTTACTAATCAAGGTTTCATTCAACATAGGTCCCGAGGTGGGCCTTTTAGTCTCGCTTGAAGACGACATGGATGAATTCCCAACTTCCTGATTTCCTTTATCAGGAGCCATAACTTTTACTGATTCGGTTCTCATATTACCCTCACCCTCCTCCCAGATATCTTCTTCATCATCCATTTCTTCTTTTCCATGGCCAGTTGCTTTTGGTAGAGCAAAACCAGCCTCTTCACATTTTTTCTTTACTGCCAAGATATTATTCCTGATATCAATAAACTCCTTCAACATGGAATCTCTCGTCCTGTTATCAGCCACTTCAACTCTAATGAGAACCGATATCCATTCTTGAACAGAGACCAGATGCTTCGTCACCAGAAGCTTGCACTGTTCCCTCAATGCATCAAATACCACTCTATTTTCATTAGTTTCTTGTATCTTTTCCGATTCTCTTAGAGAGTCGAATCGAATTTGCCTTAGCTGAAGAGAACGGAACTCCTCCAAATCTTCTTCATCCAACATAGCAAGCGGCACCCCAGCATCCCCTTTTGCCTGAACAATTTCCAGACACTCCTTGATTTCCTTAATTGTTTCATCAATCTCGTCCTTTATAGCTGAAAAGTCTTCCCTCAAAGATTCAAACTTGTTCCGTAAAATCTCTTTAGTCCTCACCTCCCTCTCCTGCCTCTCTCGTTGGATCCGTGCAGCATTTGCCTGCAGATTAGGAAATTGGAACTTGAGCGTATTCTTAAGGTAATCAAACCCAAGCCTTAGATGTTTGTAGTGAAACCCAAACGACGAATTCCACTTCTCCAAGAACTCGATAGCTTTCGACCGCAAAAGGGTCGCAATAGCCGCGGGTGCAGGAAGAGGCATATTACTTCTAAACCCAACACTTAAACTCAGTAGCTGGTCAAGATTATCCACCATTAGAGTTCTGAAGAGCTTCGATCTCATGAAGAGCTCGTCGATTACGAGAAGCGCTAGGTATCGAACCTACAAAATTTTCCAATGTCGAGTAAATGCCATGCATCATCACCCTTCTTGAGTAGACAATTTCAAACAAAAAAAAAAAAGCATCAATTTAAGGAAATCCAAACGTCAAATGGAGATTATCAACAAATGAAAATTCAACCATGAATGAAAAACAAGCCTTGAGACCAAAATCGGGAATAACCCCCATCAACGGACCCAAAACGGCGAAGACCTGAGCAAACGCAAGGATAAACCTGAGAGTGATCACGTTTCATGAGGCCCATTAGGGTTTGCGAAGCGAGGTGGAGATCCGGATCAGAATACCGGACACAATATTTGATCGCCTTGAGCAGCCGCGGGTCAACCTCACGCGCTGTCGAGTTCGTCGCCTTCTCTATCAAACCCTTCACCCTCCCATCACCACCGCCGCCGCTGCCGTCGTCTCTCTCCATCGCTCGGACGATGCGCAAACCGTCGTAGACTTTTCGCGGATTTGTTTAATTTTTTTATCCTTTGCGCTTATATGTGAAAAGGCCCCCCGTTCACCCTTAGTTGGTTCACCTGAAATGACAAATATGCCCCTTTATCAAAGCGACACTACTGTTTTATTTTCTAGTGGGCCTTTACGTAAATTGAGAAGTAGGGGCAGTTTATGTGGTTCAGTAATTCCCACCAAAATATCACGACGGAAAGAAGTTGAGGATGATGATCATGATGATGACGACGACGACGATGAGGAGGAGGAGATAAGGAAGAAAAATCTCGTGGGATATTTTTGGAATTCTCGTTTGTATTTTCGTTGGATCTGTTCTTGCTCCATGATTCAATCGCTAGTTGGAGGTAACAGGAGGAAGAGGAGGAAGAAGATGGCAATCCTCTGTTTCGTTCCCGAGAAAACTGGCCCCGAGTCTCTGCGTTTTTCTCACTTCTCATCCTTCGTTTTCGATGATCGTGTGAGATATTTTCTCCGATTTTCCTGCTTGTTTCCAGGCGTGGATGTCGGGATAAACTATGGCATTTCGGTTCTTCCTCCTCCGGAATCCGTACCATCACTTGTGAGCTCACTCTGACTCTCCAACAAACATGTCAAATCATGTGATTTGGATCCAAGGCTTATGAAATCCCTCGCCAACACCGGAATCTCCCGTTCCCTCTGTATCCCCGATCGACCAGAAGATTCAGATTCTATCATCCAATTTCACAGAAGCAGAGTCCCTTGTCAGAGATTTCATCCTCCCTCACCACATCATCATCATCATCACGTCCATCTCCTTCGGAAACTAGGTTTATCTTCTGCCGGAATTCTCCGGCAATCTTCTCCCGGCGAGGGTGAACGTTCAACGAGCAATCAGAAGGCTCCGATTGCACCGCATGATCAAAGTTTTCGCGATGCACTCCTTGGCGATTCTTTCCGCGCGATTTCCGCCGTCCCCAGCAACTTTCCAGGAATGGATCGCCGAGCTTCCATAGAGAAGAATTGGGGAGCGTTGTTTGGTAACGGTCCGAAGAAATATGATCTGATTCTGTAATCGGAAATATGTGGTGGCAATGTGGTAATTTTGTTAGATTTCTGTGGGCTATTCTTTGGGCTTCTAATCGGGCCTTGAGTTCGATACTTCGTAACTTTGTTTTTCTTCTTGGGCTTTAGGTTTTTTTTTTTTTTTTTTTTTTGCGGATTCATCCGTAGACATTTTGATGCATTTGATTTTTAAACACATGTATTATAATTATCTTCCGCAAGTGAATAGGTTAATTTTTTTTTATTAAACAATGTTTCAGGGCGGTACTCAAAGGGCGCATGTTTATAAGCAGCATAGTTTGTATCGAAAATACTATTATATTTTTGGGAAAAAATCCTAAAAATTTCTGAACTTGTATTTTGGAATAATATTAATTCCTAAACTTGTAGAGGTGTCTATTAATTCTCAAACTTGCAAAATTGAACACGTTAAATCCTGAACTTGTTAAACGGTTCCATATTCGTCCATAACGTTATTTGGTCAAAAAAACGAGTTGACCGATCCGACGTGGCTCACCACGTCACGCGCCACGTCGGATCGGTCAACTCATTTTTTTGACCAAATAACGTTATGGACGAATATGGAACCGTTTAACAAGTTCAGGATTTAACGTGTTTAATTTTGCAAGTTTGGAAATTAATAGGCATCTTTACAAGTTTAAGAATTAATATTATTCCAAAATACAAGTTTAGGAATTTTTAGATTTTTTTATTATTCTTTATTACCTTTGATTATCTTTATTATTTTAAAATTTCAAACTTTCTTTTTGTAATTTAATGTTTGGACTAATCTAAGGAGGAGATAAATTATACTAATATATTATTTAAATTTCTGTAAGAAAATTTCGGAAAAAAATGAAAGGGGATAAATAACATGGACCCACCAAACTTATATGCTTAATTAAGATATGCATTTTTTAAAAATATTTTCCCAAGAAAAACTAATAACATTGTCAAAAAAAAGTCTCAACATTCAAATGAATATTTTTTCCACTTGTATTTCTTTTTTCTCAATTTGTGGATAAAAATAAAATTATGAACTGTTCTTTTGAATAAATATTCATTTATCGTAGAAATTATATGAGATTTAATATGATTTTCAATCTCGTTAGGAAGAGTAGAAAGAACAAAGAAAATTATTTGAGTACAATTTAGCATTGATCCGGAAATGAGAACCACTAATTTGCCAAAATAAAACAAAGTAAATAATAATTAAATAAAAGCTTTGTATGAATAAAAATAAAGTAAATAAATAAATAAACAGGTTTTTGGATAAAAACGAACCGTTGATTAAATGTTTTGTTAATTCAATTGATTTAACTTAATTTAGGGCCATTAGAATAATCTATTTAAATAAATAAATTACAGTGACGTGCTCGATGTGTATTTCTTTCACAACATTATTTTATTATCTTATTTTTAGTTTTCACAGTATTACATATTCATGATTATTAAAAAATATATTTAATTTAGAAATATTCTTTTTAATATTATTTTTTCTAAAACAATTCATAAACAATTTAGAAATTAAAAGATACTCATCTTTTATTCACAAAAACCCTAAAAAATTTTAAACTTATATTTTGGAGTAATATTAATTTCTAAACTTGTAAATGTACCTATTAATTCCCAAACTTACAAAATTAAACACGTTAAATCCTGAACTTGTTAAACGGTTTCATATTCATCCATAGCGTTATTTGGTCAAATAAACGAGTTGACCGATCCGACGTGGCTCGCCACGTCATGCGCCACATCGGATCGATCAACTCGTTTTTTTGACCAAATAACGCTATGGACGAATATGGAACTGTTTAACAAGTTCAGGATTTAACGTGTTCAATTTTGCAAGTTTGGGAATTAATAGGCACCTCTACAAGTTTAAGAATTAATATTACCCCAAAATACAAATTCAGGAATTTTTAGAGTTTTTTTCCTATATTTTTTTTGTGACAAGTTGACGATTTAATCCATTTTTTCCCTTTTTGTCCTATACGTCACGAGCACGATTGAAGTGCTTGATTGGAATCTGACACGACATTTGTCCTGGAATAACTCGGAAACACAAATTGTCATGTCCCGGGAAGTGGACATATATATATACATATATCTTGGTTTTTTTATAAAAAAAATCTACAAATATTTCACTAGCAATCCAAAATTATATTGTTGATTTAGAAACACCGAATATTACTTAATGCTCAGGCAGAGTGAAGAAAACAACGAAATTCATTTTAATCGTCACACATACATGCACACATGCACACGTACATGCACACACACATACGTACATACATACAAACATACATATATACAAATACATACATACATACGTACGTAGAGAGAGAGAGAGAGAGAGAGAGAGAGAGAGAGAGAGAGAGAGAGAGAGAGAGAGAGAGAAGGAGGGGCAGGAAAGGCATGGGGAGTGAGAGAGGATGGAGGGTGGGAACCGGTGAGGATTGGCGCCGTGATCTGTGGCTCGGCTCCCTTCTTTTGACTTCTCTCACTCCCTATCTGCCCCCACCACGTGCCTCTTTTCCTCTTGCATGGCAAGGGCATCTTCTTTCCGATCTTCAGCCCCAAACAACACGAAACCCAATTACGCCCACTTTTTCTCTTGTTTCCGATCCTTTTGTACAAGGAATCGACAGATCTAAATGATATAAACGGCTGCCGCACTAAAAGATTAACCTTGTTTACTTAATTTTATTTTCGACAACAGACTGTTTCTTTTTTTAGACAACACATGAAATTAAATTGATATCAGTCATCTCAAATATATGTAGATATATGCTTAAAACAACAATACAACGCAAAATGTGCTCTTCCATCTCAATCTCGAGATCTTCATGGTCACTCTAATCCTTTGTTTTTTCTCCCGCCGGAAAAAGGATTTCCAATTGACAGATTTAACTAAAAAAAGGTTGACTCAGCACCCACGAGGGGCAAACCCGACCCGTGACCCGATCAAGTCATACACGACCCGGAAGCTCTGTTGCTGTATGTTCCCGAAGATCGACAACCCGCCCATTGTTCCGGCGAAGGCGAAGCAGAACCTTCCCTTCGAGTCCACCGGAATCAGGTAATTCGTCGCCGGAAGCGACACATCTCCGCCGCTGAAATGGAATACCACCGTCGGCACCTTCACAGTCGTCATGCCGGACAGATCGAAACACGTGTCGAACAGAGAGTACGCCGGAGCCCGCTTCAGCCTCGACGCTCCGGCTCGAAACGCGTCCCTCAGCGCCACGTAAGCGGCTCGGGTCAACCGCGTCACGGACGTGCCCGAGTCTATGATAACCCCGCCGTTACCGGCGGGGGCGGTTTTGAACAGAGACGCCGTCACGCCCCGGACACGTGTCCCTCCGACGCTGATCCCGAGTAGCTCCAAGTAGTAGAACGTATCGAGCTTCGGGCTCGTTAGTAAGGGCGTGTAGACGGCGGTGTTAACGGCGGCTCCGTCGCCGAAAACAATGGTGGACGGTTTCGCCGAGGATGTCCGATCGACCAAACAGTAAGAGAATTTGCCTTTGAAGCGGTTTTTGGTTTGAGAAGGGAATGATAATCCACCACGGCCGAGACCCAACAGACCGGCTGCGCCGACGAACAGGCCTTCGTTGTCATGGCCGCATCCGACTGCCACGTGATCCACACGCGCGCCGCGAAACGACAGCGTCTCAGTCGAGAGGTCTCCGACGGTGAACGACCCGTCGCCATACGATACCTGGTAGAGGCACATCCGACGGCTGTTGCATCCCGGCGAGTCCAGGCGGCGACAGAGCCTCGACGCGCACGGGACGGTGGCGTAGCTCCGTGATTTGGCTGGGTCGAAAATCGGGTCTGACTGGTTGTAACAGACCTTGCAGGGAGAGCACTGGAGCCAGACAATGTCGCTACCAGTGTCAAGGACCATGTACGCGTAAGTCGCCGGAGTTCCCACGCCCAAGCGCGTGAAATACTCGCCGCTTCCTTGAGAGAGTCCAGAGACTACAGCGCCGCTGAACCCACCGGCGGCGCGTGGAGCATGCGTGACGTTTCGAACGGAAGCGGCGGCGAAGCTAGTCAGGGTCTCAACCCGGAGAGAGTCTCTCCGGAGACGGAGGTCGAAGAGATGCTCCGGCGACGTATCGGAGGGAGAAAGCGCGTCGACGTGGAGTAATTGTGCGGAGAGAGAAGTGGCGGTTTCGGACAAGGAGTCAGAACCATCGGTTACGAACTCCGAATCGGGCCAGGAGAGAGTGGGAGAGGTGGGAAGAGGGTTAACGACCAGGGTCTGATGTCGGAGAGTGGAAGAGTGGGAGGTGAAGGAGCAGAGAAGGATGGCAATGGAGAAGACAAGGGCATTTCGGAAATTTCGCTCCATTGGGAAGGTACACTCGTGTTCCATGGAAGATGAAGAAGAGTGTCGAGGAGGTGAATATAAAAAGGGAACCGAGCTCGTGTGTGAAACGGGCGGTGTCATGGACTGACTTTTATATTTATTTGACATTTTTTATATCGCCGGTCATTTTTTTTAATAATATTTCATAATAAAGATAATATCATCATGTGTATTATTGGCACCGCTACTGAATACTTGGATGACCATTGATTGGTATTATATGTTAGAAAACAATGCTATAAAATTCATGAGAAGAGTGTAATCACATATAAAAGGAATCAAGGACATACTTGTATGAGATAAATGCTCTTCCGGGGCTTCGCTATATTCGTTCTATTCAATTTATGTTGGACCAAGGTCCATCGTTATGGACCTAACCGGCCCAATTTTGAGCCCGCATTTTGCCGTTTCTCTTTTTTCCACGTCAGTACGATCCGGTGGTTTTCTTGTCCCCGAGTAAAAAAATCGGACTGTGTGCACCGGGACCAAACTATCCTCCGTCCGTCAGTCATGTCTTATATTTATATATATATATATATATGAAATATCACGTATAAATATTTAAATTTTTATAAAATTTCAAATAAATATCTAAATCATAAAATTTTAAGAAAAATATCTAAACTTTTCAAAAATTCTAACCAGATTTTTTTAAAAATTTAAATAAATTAAAAATTCGGATATTTTTTAAATAAAAATAGTAACGTTATTAACGAATTTTGAGTTTATTTAAAAAAAACAAAAATTTAGATATTTTCATGTAATTTTTGAAAAGTTCAAGATATTATATTTTTCTATATGTATGTATATATATAAATATATGTGGCATTGATTTGAATAGAATATATTATTACACATTTCATATTTAAAGTTTAGAACTGTAATAATTATAAGATGGAATAAAACTGTAAAAAAATAGTTCTTCAATATGTAAACTTAAAATATAGACATAAAAATTTGGATTTAGATAATACATAATAATATGGATAATTTTTTAGTCTTATCCATACCTCTTATCATCTACACGTGTGTGTGATTTTATGCGCTTGTATAATATATATATATATATATTATAATCTAATCATATTTTCGTAATTTGAAAACTGCTTATATCCAGAAGCATAAAATATCAAAGTTTCTATAATAACTTTATTCTATATGGATATATATATAAGAAAAAAAGTTTATTCTATATGGAGAAATGTCTAAGATTTGAAGGCCCGTGGCTTTTTCTATCACGTTGAAACGGGTGCAACACTGCATGTGCAAAAAAAAAGAATAATGTGAATGAAATTTAAAAAAAAAAAAGACAAATCAATTAAAAAAGCAAATATAACCCTTTTCCAAAAACAAAATCCCAAAAAATAACAAATGGTAGATACAAAATATTGCGGACAGGGGAAAAACAAAAGAGAGATAAATTGTGAGTGACGTCCCAAAGCCCAAAAGAGATAGGGGGTGAGAAAAGATTGACGGTCCAATTTCCATATGTATACAATTAGTTAGGCCTCATTTTTCATATTTTTTAATATTCCAGAAGTTCCATTTTCGCATCATTTTTTCAATTTTTATATTTAATTTTAGAAAAAGGAAAACAATACATATCTCACTAAATTCTATGAGATATTGTCTTAAAATCTACAAAGGCACATTCTTCACATGTTTTAATTTTCTTTTTCTATCACCACTCGCTCCTTTTTATTTTTTGTGGACTGCGCCACTTGCGTTTTCTTTTCTCTTTTAAGCATCTTTTTTTCTGGGGAAACATAGAACAGTTCATCGTTTCAAGAACAATAACATAAAATAAAATTAAAACTTCGAATAGCAAGAAATAGTCCCAAATTATTTCAGAACCATTGAGTTACTGATATATGATCGAGATACATATAATTGTCAACGATGATATGACTACTGAGATTGCCTAAGAGATTATACGTTTTCTGACGTCAGAGACAACCTGAAACCTGCGACCCAGATGACGGTAATGGTTCGTCGGAATCTATGTCGGGGTAAACCGCCGCCATCAGTTTCTCTCTCGTCATTGCCTCTGATCCGTTAGATTTGATCACGAACGTGTGAAAAACCGTGTCGTTGATCAGAGATAACTTACAGTCCAAGACGCTGACCTGAGAGTTTCCGATTGCTTGAATGATTCTTGAAACTGGGTGCGAATCCAACGGGGAACTCACTTTCACGACAACCTCGTCGTTCAGATTTCGGACCTCGACATCTGGACTAAAGCTCGAAGATTCAAGAACTGGGTTTGGTTCCCTTCCTCCTGTTCCGGTCCTCTCCGCTTCCATGGCCTTGACCTTCTCCTGGAGCTCGTTGATGTGAGCAATGGCGTCACCCAGAAGAGAAGCTTTGTCCATCTTAGTGATGTTGGGCACAACCGAACGTAAGGCGTAGAACCTTTGATTGAGCCTCTCACGCCTCTTCCGTTCAGCTTCCACATGGTTGAGCGGCTCTTCCCTTCCGTTTGCAGGCTTTCTACCTCGCTTTCTTGGCCTCTTCTCATCAAAATCTGTGGCGAAACCCGCTCCTTTTTCCGGGCATGAATCCATAGTCTCCGATATAGCGTTTGCGGAGGGTTTCGAAGAGGCTGCTGACAAGCCGAAGTCAATCTGGATCTGGTTGGTCTGTTTTGGTGATTGGTGATTGTTCAAAGGGGCAGCTTCTATAGTTGCGTTGCCGTAATCTTGCATGTTGTTTTCTGTTGTTTGAGCTGAGTAAGCGGGTGCCAAACCTTGGAATCCATTCATCGGGCTTTGATAGGCTTCCCATCCTTGAGGAGGATTGGCACGAACGTCGTTCCAGTTCCTCAGTTCCTGTCCGAAAAGCCTGTGAACACCTCCTGTTTTGTTACCCGACACACTCACGTTGTTATCATGTGGGAAAAAGGTAGCCGTCTGATGAGCCCTCGTCGAGAACAAAGCCTTTACAGAGTGCACCAGCTCCATGCTTTCCGGCAAAGATCGGACAGAACCGAGCTCGACAACACCGACATCCATCGGGACCATGACAATCGTTTGGATTCCGGCAGATTTCGCGAGAAAAGACCTGAAACAGTAGGAAGATTCAGTGTTCATAGCATCGGAGATCCAGAAATGCTTTCCTGATGCGAAACATCTTCCCGGGCCACCTTCTCCGTTAGGGAAGGAGAAATACATGGACACCAAGAAGAACATCTCCATATCGGTGACTCTATCCATTTTAACAGCGTAATTATCCTCATCCAATCCACCGGAAAATCTGTGAAGCTTCTGAAGAACCCGTTTCCTCATGTTCTGCCATGTCTCCTCTTCCAGTCCACAGTTTCCGTACCGAATTAGTTTGGGTTCTTCTTCCTTGCTGGCTTCCCGACAAGAGCCATCTCCCCAACCCAGAACCAGATGCCCGGATCTAGACCGAGAAAGCTGCCATAGAATTGCATAGTTCCAGCTAAAACTCATCGAGTTCGGCCGCTCCACCAGATCGGAGAGCTTGTTCTGCAAACCCTTGTCGCTTCCAACTGTCGCGCACAAATTCTCGTTAGAAACCGAACTGGCTCTGAGATAATCATAAGCTCGATGCCCTAAAACCGCAGTAACCATGGCCTTTTCTTCATCGTCCCATCCTAGTGCACCCATATTCGTCTCGCCTTTTTCTCTCCCGGGAAATCTAAAAATGAAAAAAAAAATCGAAACGAAACAGATAAAGCCAGAACAAGCAAAACTGAGAAATTCAAAGAATCAACATAAAACCCCTAGTAGAACCGAAACTGAATACATTCAAGAACCCAAGAAACACAGTAAAACCGAAAAGTGAGAACTGAAAGCCGCTTCAATGTCGGAAATCAAAACCCTCCTTCGCGTCTCGACAATTTTTTTCCAGAAAAAAAAAAGAAAAATACACGAAGAAACAATCGAGTAAAGCTTCGGACAAGGAAACACAGGGTCCAGATTTATAATGGATAGAGGGAGGGAGGGAGGGATGGCGGTTTGTTGTATGAGCTCTTTAAAAAACTAACCACTGCCATTTGTGTAGTATAAACCAAGGGTTAAGGACTTAACCACGGTTGAAACCCGGGTCGGGTTTACCGAATAGGATTACCGGACCCGATTAATGCACAAACTCCGATTCCGGAACAAATCGGTGCTTATAGTTATTCTTATGGAATCCAATTTTAATTATCCATTTTCTTTCAGCTAACTGATTCCATTACCGTTAAATCTGTACTCCCTTGGAAGAAATCGTTTCTAACTTTCTGTGTTTATCCAAAAAATACAGAAAATAATGTTTTGTGAGTGTGTATATATAACCAATACAATAATTCGAAATCCATTAGAAAGGAGGAAAAAAAAAGATGGAAAATAATGTTGTCAGTTGTCCGGTGGGGCGTCGGTTTCTCGGATATCATTGTTTGGCGTGGGCCCATATTTTAAAAACGGAATCTTTACATTTCAAACGTGAAATGTGATTTTTTTTTTATAAAAAAATTTAAAAGAGAGAGTCAAAAAGCTTATTTATCGCACAGAAACTGCGTGAATCTCATTGGCCAACCAATCAACCAACAAGCAGTATCCTTTTTAATAAAGTACTAATCTTTTATCTACACGTGTTTCTACACCACCACACGCATATATAAATGATGGCAGTTGTATATCATCATAATCATAAATACGATATGAAATAGCCGTCAGGCTAACATATGTGATCAGCCCGTCCATTATATTTCATATCACATATCACGGATATCATAGTCAAATTAGCATGTGAGAGATGTGGGACCCACCAGTGCAAAACGCAATTCTTAGAAAGAGAGATGTGGGGCATCATGGGAGAGAGGGATGGACACTTCAGTTCGGGAATTTAGTACCGACCCAATCCGTTCCGAAACCGAACCATATCGAACCGAACCGAATAACGTTTGGTTCTAATTTGATACACTTTTTATGGAACCGAATGAACCGTTCCCGAACCGAACCATATGAATACCGAACCGAACCGTATGAATACCGAACCAAAATTCGAATATTCCACTAATATATGTGTAAATATTATAGTTCGGTACTTATTTGGTATTCATATAATGGTACCGTTCCGAACCAAATCGATACTAAAACCGAAACGAACCGAACCGTTTAACATTCAGCTCTAGTTTGGTACACTTTTTATAAAACCGAATATACCATTCCCGAACCGAACCGCTTGAATACCGAACCGAAACCCGAAACGCCCCCAAGAGACATAAGTCATCGTTTTCGGTGGTCTTTATCACAGACGATAACTCCTCACGTCTCGTAAAAGTCCTCTCCACATAAAAAAATATATATAGAGTCATATATATATATACACACATTTATGCACCCAACGTTATATGTTATTTATCCATTTTATTTTACAATTACATAAAGGATTGGCGTGCATTGCATGCAATCAGGAGAACCACGCATATAGATATTTCGTTTTTAATTTTTTTTTTGTAATAGATATTTCCTTTTTTATTTTTTTTACAAAAGAAAAATACTAACGAAATATCTAAAAGAAGAATTCATAAATTCATAATTGAAGGGGAGGGAAAAAAAAAGAGTGGACGACGATAGAAATGGAAGATAAATGTGGGGGACGAGGCCAACATCGTCACGTGTTTTTTTCATGGAGGAGATATTAAAAAAAATGAAGGAATGAGGGGGAGAGTGAGCTTCACGCGCTATGAGACAGCTGGCAGCCCAAGGCAAGGCCCACATGCTCCCAACTTGTCGTATCCATCACGCCTTTCTCGTGGGTTTTCTGTGGGCCCAACTTTTCTCTTCCGACGTTCCTCAAGGTTTAAAATTATTTAAAAACATAATAGTTTTAAAAAATTCTTAAATAAAATGATAGAAAACAAATTCCTAAACTTTTTGTTAAAAAAATTTATTCTCAAATTTGTAAAAATCTGACACTATAATTCCTAAATTTGTAAAAATCTACTATTTTACAAGTTCAGTAATTTTTAGATGTTTTACTCAATAAAATAAATATGTGAATTCTGAATGTATTTATGAAATAAAAATAAAAATTCTAAAATCTTTATATAACATATATATAATTTTAAAAATTTTTATTTTTATTTCAAAACATAATAGTTTTAAAAAATTCTTAAGTTTATAAAATGATAGAAAACAAATTTCTAAACTTTTTGTTAAATAAATTTATTCTCAAATTTGTAAAAATCTGACACTATAATTCCTAAATTTGTAAAACATGTTATTATAATTTCTAAATTTTGTTAATTAGTATAAAAAAATATATTGATGAATATTGATTCAAAAATTAGTTTAAGAATTATAATGATATATTTTACAAGTTTAGTATTTATAGTGTGACATTTTTCAAGTTTGAGAATAATTTTCTTTGATAAAAAGTTTAGGAATTTGTTCTATACTATTTTACAAGTTCAGTAATTTTTAGATGTTTTACTCAATAAAATAAATATGTGAATTCTGAATGTATTTATGAAGTAAAAATAAAAATTCTAAAATCTTTATATAACATATATATAATTTTAAAATTTTTGATTTTTATTTCAAAACGATAATAAATTAATAATGGCATGATAATTTTTATAATTCTCCTGTATTGCTATTCTCGCACGTGTGCATCATTTATATCTATACATGTATATGTGCCCTAGTTTTTTTTTTTTTTAAAGCAATAAAATCCGAGATAAAAAAAAAGAGCAAACGGAACCAACATCTGGTCCATTACGAATAAACACAAAGTTTTTGTAATGTAATAATTAAGCTATTTGTTTCCCATATAAAAATTCATAATTATAATGGGAAATCCATGTCAATACGTTCGAGACCCTGTAATGTATCTGTTTCCCATATAAAATTTCATGCATATTAGAATTTTCGGTTTGCATATTCGATTTTATAAAATAATTTATATACTAAGTAGAAAATTAACCTCGATTAATCATGTTTTTCACATTCATCACGCGGAAATTGTGTTATTAATTTTTCAAAATTATTGTGTAACCAGAACGTGCTAATTTTCAGATCGTTTCCTTGGGAGGGACAGAAGTTTTCTGCCGTGGGATGTTGTCTCGTTGTAAAAAAGATGATTGCCAACGAGAGGGGAGCCCCGCCGCATAAGGGCAATCCCGTCATTTAGACTTGCTTTGAATGATATCGTTAACATCTTTGCACGAGATTTTATTGTTCGTCCCAAAATTGGGGATTAATTATAATGTTTAAATATTATAAACATATGATTCGTATTCGAACACACATTTTTGAAAAATACACTATGGAGCACCCAAATACTGAAAAAAGAAAAAGGAAACATGTGTTACATAATGGGTTGTAGGAAATAGTCAAATAATGTAATTTATTTCACATAATTGCAAAGTAGTTATTAAATGATAATTTCATTTTTTAACTCAAATTGACACATTAAACTTACTTAGCAACTCTAATATTATATTAACAGATTAATTTAATTATTAAAAACAAAAACTAGGCAACGTGATTGTTGTTTCCTTATAAAAAAAATATTCACGTATTCCAGTGTTAAAAAACAAGATAATTGGGTCATTTTTTATTACATAAACTATAGAAAATCATGTCAATGTATCGAAATTGAAATGCCCAAAAAAAAAAATCCCCCAGCGAGCAAGGTCTAGGATGGAATGGGCCTAGGCCCAATGAAATCATCATATCAGATGAGCCGAAATTCACTGAAGCCCATATTATGGTCAACACTAATGGGTTACAGCCCATAACAGAACCCGATAACCCGACCCAGTTCACCAGTTTTTCTTTGTCCGTCCGAAACTTTTTCATTTCCATCATCCTCTTTGAAATTCTCCCATTTCCCTCTTTGAAAACCCTCTCTCTCTCTGTCTCGCGTCTCTTTGCTTCGTCTCCTGTAAAACCCTAATTTAAAATTGGGGTTTCTGGGGAAAAAAGGTTAGTCGGAACCGATCTGTGTCATAAACCCTAGTTTCTGGATTTTTTTCTAGAGAATGGAGTGGAATCCGGAGACTCTCCAGTTCCTTTCGCAATGCTTCCTCCACACGCTCTCACCGGCGCCGGAGCCACGGCGGGCCGCTGAGAGGTCGCTTTCGGAGGCGGCTGATCGACCAAATTACGGGCTCGCAGTCCTCCGTCTCGTGGCGGAGCAATCCGTCGACGAACAGATCCGCCACGCAGCCGCTGTTAACTTTAAGAACCACCTCCGCTCTCGGTGGGTGCCTGCCGGTGATTCGGATCTCTCTCCAATCGTCGATTCGGAGAAGGATCAGATCAAAACCCTCATAGTTTCGCTCATGCTGTCGTCTTCTCCTCGTATCCAGAGCCAGCTGAGTGAAGCCCTAGCCGTCATTGGGAAACACGATTTCCCGAAAGCGTGGCCTGCGTTGCTTCCCGAGCTTATCTCCAGCCTCCAGAAAGCTGCCCTTTCCGGCGATTACGCATCTGTCAATGGTATACTCGGGACCGCTAATTCTATTTTCAAAAAGTTTAGGTATCAGTATAAAACCAACGATCTCTTGCTCGATTTGAAGTATTGCCTGGATAATTTTGCCGCTCCGTTGCTGGAGATGTTCCTTAAAACGGCCTCTTTAATCGATTCTGCCATGAGCTCTGGTGGGTCAGCCGCGATCCTCAAGCCGCTGTTTGAGTCTCAGAAGCTGTGTTGCAGAATATTTTTCTCCTTGAATTTTCAGGAACTTCCCGAGTTCTTCGAAGATCACATGAAGGAGTGGATGGGAGAGTTCAAGAAATATCTGACGACGAAATATCCTGCCTTAGAGGGCACTGCAGATGGTTTAGCACTTGTTGACGGTCTTCGAGCTGCTGTTTGTGAGAATATAAATCTCTACATGGAGAAGAACGAAGAAGAATTTCAAGGCTTTCTAAATGATTTTGCATCTGCTGTTTGGACATTACTCCGTGATGTCTCGGTGTCACCCAGTCGGGATCAACTGGCCACAACCGCGATTAAGTTTTTGACCACTGTGAGCACCAGTGTTCACCATGCTTTGTTTGCGGGAGACGGAGTGATACAGGAGATTTGCCAGAGTATTGTAGTTCCCAATGTACGTCTGAGGGATGAAGATGAGGAGCTTTTTGAGATGAACTATATCGAGTTTATTCGAAGAGACATGGAGGGAAGTGATGTAGACACCAGGAGGAGGATAGCATGCGAGCTGCTTAAAGGACTTGCTACAAACTACAGAAGGCAGGTGACAGAAGTAGTTTCTGTTCAGATACAGAACCTCTTAGCTTCGTTTTCAGCGAATCCTGCCGTCAATTGGAAGGATAAGGATTGTGCAATTTACTTGGTTGTATCTCTGGCTACTAAGAAGGCTGGAGGTGCATCTGTGTCTACAGATCTTGTTGATGTTCAGAGCTTCTTTGCGTCGATTATTATCCCAGAGTTGCAAAGTCAAGATGTTAACAGTTTTCCGATGCTGAAGGCTGGTTCGCTGAAGTTTTTCACGATGTTCCGTGGTCATATACCGAAGCCCCTTGGACTTCAGTTGTTCCCGGATTTGGTTCGGTTCCTTGGGGCTGAGTCAAATGTTGTCCACTCCTATGCTGCTAGTTGCATAGAAAAGCTCTTGTTGGTGAAGGATGAGGGTGGAAAAGCTAGGTATGGTCCTGCTGATATAAGTCCATTTTTGCCTGTGTTGATGACCAACTTATTTAATGCCCTGAAGTATCCAGAATCTGAAGAGAATCAATATCTCATGAAGTGTATAATGCGGGTCTTAGGTGTTTCCGATATCAGCGGTGAGGTTGCTGGGCCTTGCATTTCTGGCTTGACCTCTATTCTTAATGAAGTTTGCAAAAATCCCAAAAACCCGATATTCAATCACTACCTATTCGAGTCTGTGGCTGTTCTTGTAAGGCGTGCATGTGAACGTGATATTTCCCTCATTTCTGCATTCGAAGCAAGTCTTTTCCCTAGTCTCCAAATGATTCTGGCCAATGATATCACCGAGTTCTTGCCATATGCGTTTCAGTTGCTTGCTCAGCTTGTTGAATTGAACAGGCCACCGCTCTCACCAAACTACATGCAGATCTTTGCTCTTCTCCTCTCACCTGAGGTGTGGAAGAGAAGCGGAAACGTTCCAGCCCTTGTGCGTTTGCTTCAGGCGTTCCTTCAGAAGGCGCCTCATGAGCTTAATCAAGAGGGAAGGTTGAGTCAGGTTCTGGGGATTTTCAACATGCTGGTGTCGTCCCCAAGCACAGATGAGCAAGGCTTCTATGTACTTAACACTGTTATCGAGAATCTCGAGTACAGTGTCATTGCGCCATATATGACTCACATATGGAATGCCCTTTTCACACGCCTCCAGAACAGACGGACTGTAAAGTTCCTGAAGTCGCTAGTCATATTTATGTCGCTTTTCTTGGTCAAGCACGGATCGGTCCATCTGGTGGACACAATGAATACCGTTCAGCCGAACATCTTTAACGTGATCCTGGAGCAGTTCTGGGTACCGAACCTGAAGCTAATCACGGGGACTGTTGAGCTTAAGTTAGCAGCGGTTGGGGCAACCAGACTTATATGCGAGACTGCAGCCCTCTTGGATCCATCGGCTGCAAAGCTCTGGGGAAAAATGTTGGATAGCATCGTGACACTCGTTTCAAGACCCGAACAAGAGAGGATTGAGGATGAACCTGAAATGCCAGACATTGCAGAGAATGTAGGTTACACGGCTGCATTTGTGAATCTCTACAACGCCGGGAAGAAAGAGGAGGATCCGCTGAAAGACATCAAGGATCCAAAGCAGTTCTTGGTTGCGTCTTTGGCTAGACTTTCGGCTGCTTCCCCGGGCAGGTACCCGCAGATAATCGGTGAGAACCTAGAGCAAGCGAATCAGGCAGCTCTACTCCAGCTCTGCAGCACTTACGGATGCTCAATCGCATGAGTAAGTGATTGCATATTGTCTGGTTTATTCATATTTCCTGCCAAATAATAATCCTCTCCACTATGCTTTACCCCCTTATGATTTCCAAGTAGAATAGATCCAGTACAAGACCAGGGGGAATGGTCTAAATATGATTCTGAAATGACTTGGCAGGAGGATATTGGAAGAACAGAAGAGGATAGAGTTGAGCATATCCAGTGTTTGGTCGAGCGTGTGAGCAAAAGTGATGAAAACCCATTTTGTGTCGTTTTGAGGTAAAACGTGAATGGGATTTCCCCTTTTGTTTTTTGTTTTTAAACTTTTGAAGAGTGTGGGTGGGTATCTGCATCGTATCTCATGGCGAAACTGCTATAAAAAAAAAATGGACAGAGCATTTTTATTCTGTTTTTATTTTTAAATATTGGTAAAACTTCTTGAGATCGATGAAGATGGGCCATCATTGTCACATTCCCCATTTATGTGGGCTGGTTGGGTTTGTCAACGAAGCCCAAGATCTTTCATGGTGGCCCAATAATTTAAGCGTCCTCATGAATTCGGGGATTAATAATATATACTAAGAAAGAGGAAAGGAGAGAGAGAAGCATAGGGTATGTTGGGTACCCTTTCTAGTCTTAATTAACAACAACAATAATGATGATTGGGGGAGGAAGTGGGTCGTCTTTTGGATTGGATTTGAGCAAATTCATCCTCTTTTCCCTGATTTATGTGGCATTACACGTCAGCTCTCCATAATTGTTTTCATTTTCCTTTTTTAATCCTTCTTTTTTCTCAAGACTTTCAGGAGCAAATTGCCAAATGACCCTAACCCCATATTAAGCAAATTCAATAACAAAATTAGTGATTTGATTTGATTTTTTCCCCCTTCTCCATAGATAATTTACTAAGCAATTGACCTCTAAAGTATAAGTATTATTAGAAAGAAATGATTGAGCAGTATTCAGCGGTCTTTTAAGACACTTGATGAAAGGGGGTGACTTTATAAGACCACGATTCTTGATTCCCATTGGTCGTCCCGTTTTCCATCACTCTCCAACTATAACACATTAGCGATCTTATCTTATGCAGTTAATTGTTCGCATTTTGAACATAATTTCCTTTATTCCTCGTGATTAGACTTATATATATATATATAAGGTTAAGGTTATGGTACGTACATGATTTCTGTTTATATATATAGATACTATCGAGGAAAAATTGGCAATGGATCAAATGGAAGAAGACTTATCCACATTGTCGTAATGCAAAAAATATATATGGAGAGAGACAGATCATACCTTGTGTTTAATGCATATATGGGTGTATGTATATGTATATGTATACACACATGGGCAAAGATGGATGCCATAAACCCGCTCCATTCCTTTTGGTTGTTCATTTCCTTTAATTTTTAAAAATAAACGAAAATGACCAATCCCCGGACTCACACATGTGCCCTTTTTCCAAAAAACAATAAAATAAAATACAAACAAAGTGTGGTGTACTAGGAATCCATGCCCAATTTAACTATATATTTATACACCCCCCACTTCCATACAAAATAAATTAATAAACAAGTGAATAAAGAGGGCAATCATGGAGGGGTAATAATATATATATATATAAATATTTATAATGAAAATTTAAAATATGTAATATGAAAAAGAAAAGCCCGGAAAAAGGATGCAGGGAAACCACTAGGAGAACAATTTCAAGACTTTGGATTTGTAATCCATAAGTGTGCAATTATGTTTTGGTAATTGTCATGATTCCAAAATAGAGGTGTCCAAAGTTGGTCGACCCACCTCTTTCTTTGTTCTCCCACTCAATTGCCTACTTGATTTAACCTTTTTTTATCTTTTATCTAATGCATCGATTGGTCCAAAAATAACATTTTTTTTTCAAATGTAAATTCAAGCAATGGAGGGTTTTTATTAGAACCACAAACAGGATCATTAAAAAACGAAACTCCCACGAAAGCTTATTAAATCTAAAAGAATAGTTCATTCACTATTTGCGTGTACTTTTTAAAATTGTAGTTAACGAATCATTTTTTTTTATTTTCATTTTTATTGTTATAATATGTACCAATAAAATATAATCGAGTTTAAATCAAATATGACTAGTTCAATTGGTTTGTTTTAAACATTTGATTTTTAAGATTACATATTTAAATTTTTATTATCTAAATTTGTTTAGAATTATTTCACTTCCTTTAAAACAATAATAATACGTCCTTATGAGTATATTTATATGCTGTCACCAAAATAAAATAATAAAGTTTTAAAGGGCACGAATTACGTCGAATATATTTATAAAATATTGACATTCTTACCAAATACAAACGTTGAATCGGCAAATATATGTATTTATAATAGAAATCATATAATCACACACATAGTATATTAATTTAACTCAATAAATTTCTAATAAATTTCTTTATGTTATCGAACTAAAATATTTGTTATTTCGATAAAAAAAATGTAAAACCTCGCATTTAAAATAGGAAGTAAAAGAGATTGCCCGAGATGGAAATTGGACCTAAAGGTGGTGGAAGTGGAGAGTAGGTCGATCGAATTTGAACTGGGACCCCAGAATTGTACGGACGAACCTTTTATGCGTCCGTGCGAGAGACACTCACATTAATCATATGATTAATTCACCCATATATATTTATAATTTCCTTAAAATTAAATTAATTCAATTATTTAAATAAATAGAATAATTAAAATAAGAATAAAGATATTTAAATATAAATATATTATTTTTAAAAGAAACAAAATTACACATATATATATAATTATTCACTTGTAATAGAGTCCAAATATAAATTAAATTTAATTTATTTCAATATACAAATAGAGTATATATAATTTTTTTAAAACTAAATAATTTAATTATAAAAGTAATTTAAACGAAATTAAAAAACCATATAGTTGATATTTTGTAATAAAGAAAAGTATAATGTATATGTTGTAACAGTTATAATTAAACTAAATTATGGTAATGTAATATGTTCATTTAGTAATTATCTTATAGTTGTAACCCTACATTAGGCTTTTTTAATTCAATTTTTATATTCAAACAAATCCCTATATATAAAAAACAGAACACACATAAGGTGAAGCTCATATCTAACCAAAAATATATTACGCAGCATCACTGCGAATCTCCATCTCAACTACGACTTTCGTATTCTTTTTTTAATATAAGGTTTTTAAATTTGATTATTGGACCGATTAACTATTGAAGGTATATTGCGATATCCTTAACTTTTCCTTTATTAACAGATGCCAAAATATATAAATGAAAGTAGTAACCTCTACGTGTAAAATCAGTATGGAATGGAACATATCGAATCACGTCACATAGGTTTTCTATTTTTAAATTTACTAAACTGTTTCATTTCTTGAAAAAAGATATATATAAATTATCGTCCTAATGGAACCAACGGACCGGATTCTTTACACATATATAGGATTACAAAGCTAATTATATTTTAATTCATACGAATTTTAAACTATATATATTGATTAATTGCTGAGTTTGATTATCATATTACATACTCCTTAACCTTTACATAGGAGGAATGAGTCATTTTTCTTCTTAAAAAGATGACTGGGATAATATTTTTTTCTTTCAATGAATTTGAATTTACTACTAGTTTGTATTATATATATATATATATAACATGCAAAGGATTCATCTTAGTAATTTTGTGATTATATAAAAAAACATGCAAAGGATATAATAATTAATTTGATTAAGATAACAGATATGGACAGAGAATAAAATCTTTCTTTCTTGACTGCGTTGTTAACTTAAAGCCAACCATTTGATTCTTAAACCACTCATCTTCACCACAGTTATCAAAACCATTACTTTCAACTTGTATTGTAACTATGTACATATATATATATATGTATGATTGAATATAGGACCACAGTTTTATTATATTTTATCTATTATAAAAATGATTACAGTTGATTAGATCAAACATGTAATTCTATGAAAAACGAATATTCGACATTTTAATTTAATGATGCGGCGACTAAGACAAAACGGGCGATTTAACTATGGTTATCCGACAGATTAATGGAGTATAATCGCAATTAGCATTAAAATAATATTTTTTTGTGAAATAAAATGGATTCCACTCCACCACTAACACCCAATTAATTCTTAAATATATAAAAAATTACGTAACGATATATTCCCATCCGTGCGTTCACATTCGCTTTGAATAATCATATTCCTATATATATATAACCAACAATTATACGCAACGGTCCCCCCTCCCTTTGTTCCTTTGTTTATACTTTTTTTTTTAATTTGAGTTATTGTTGTATTTTTTTTAAAATATTTACAACTGTATGCGGATCTCTTAAATTAATCTCCAGATACAAAAAATCATATATATAAGCGTATGACGTGACGTGAGATTAACAAATATACGTAAAAGCATGATATTCCACTAACCAGAATATAATTTATATAAGTTACATTAATTATTTTTTCGGTATTTCTAAATCATTTTAGTCTCTCTCTCTCTCTATATATACACACATATATATATATATGTTGCTTTATCTTTCTCCTTATTTTCTAATGATATTGGATTCTTCTAATTCGACTCCCCTTTTCCACGATTTTGTCCGTACAATGTGTTTTTTTTGCCGTCACACCAATAAAAAAAAGAGATGAAGTTTGCATTCACCATAGATTGATAGTTCCACATGCAAGAGGAATGGTCGAAAACTGATAGTATTTATTCGTATAATTTCATCTCATGGACCGACTTTGGATAATTAACCAAGCATCGGACTTTTAACCATATGAAAATCACCGATTATATATATATATATAGCGCATTATAAATAAATATAAAAAAGAAGGAAAAGTTAGGAGATTGATATATAGTTACAAATAATGTGTATTTTGATTGCGATTCTAAATTAAAAATCCGACGAGTGACTCATTGAAAGAAGGTGCTGAAAACGGAGCAGCGTGATGACAAGTAAGCAGTTGACACGTGGCTATAGTAGACCATTATGACGTGTCCACTTGGGGACCACCTTTCCCCCGACACCTCGGCATGGTCTACTTTTTTCCATCCCCTTACTCTCACTTCTCGCGCGTGTCTCCCACTCGCCTCTGTCTATATCGTCTTAGATTTTTTATTTTATTTTTCACTTTTACGTCTGCAATTACTTGTGGTAAAGTTTTTGATTTTAACTTTAAGAAAATATGTATTTCTAACCACAGTTTTTTATCCAATAAGAAAAAATATAAAAAATTCGGCCTTAAAAAACAATTCATATATTCGTTGAAGTGGATAGTTATAGTACCTACTTTTAAAATTTAACCGCCACTGTAAAAAGTGAAATTTTCTGAATTTTCACGTGAAATTATGATCCATAACTCGCACGCTTACCGAAGCCCTCTTTTACCTCTTGCGCCTCGAGTGTGGTCCCTGGTGGCAATCTCTGTAATTAACTCCGTCTACAGGGTTAAACTCAAATCTTCATTTTATAAGCTTTTTTTATAATAAAAAAAGAAAATCCTGCCCGGGGGTGTACACGAGCCAACACGTTTGCCTGCCACGATCCGGACAGAACAAATTGACGGCAAATCAAGAAAACGGGTTAATGGCGCCGTCAGTTCTGACGGTCATCAAACGGAAACGGATACGACCTCAGCGTTTGGCTTCACGCGCGTCTGGTGGTGAAAATGATACATCAAAAGCTCATTTAAGTATAGCCGTCTTTATCGGACGGCTGAGATCGCCTCTTCCCCCATTTACCGTACACTTGGCTTAACCACGGTTAGATATTTTTTGTCGGAGAGTGACCCTTCGTTTGCATTATATTTGTTAATTTATTTATTTTCCTTTTACAGCAAGTTATTTTTTTCTTTTTTCTCTTCTCATGTAACTGATCAATTTTGTGACACAAGTGTTGGGAAAAATATGAAAATCTGTAATCCGTTAAATATTAGGTTTTTGGCCTAACGAAAACTTTGTATTTGATATGATTAATTATATGGTGTCAAATATTAGCTGAGTGGTCCAATATAATGCACAAAAAAAAAACATAAATAATCTGAGATTACGGATATAATTGTAGGGGTTGGTAATGAAATCCGATTTATTATGTTATTAAGTTAGCCAGCGCTGGCATTTATTATAAGGCAAGAATTTAATAGTCTACAGATATAAATAAATATAGGAATCGAAATTACTTATTGATGGGTCGGAAATTACAGACTGCAAGAATCTGAACCAAGTTCAGCGATATATGTGTATGTACACACATATCTATATAGAGAGAGAAGGAAAGAGAGAGAGAGAGAGAGAGAGAGAAATGTCTGCATGATATTGTGAGACTCTTAAGAAAGGAACTGGTTTTGGTCTAGATCGGGGGAGTAAGAAGCTGGGCTTGAGCTGAAGAAGAAGAAGATGCAGGAGAGGCTCGAAACGGCGAGAAGTTGGTGACTGAGAAGGCAAAACAACACGAAGTCGGAGAGGAGAGGAGGAGACAAAAAAAGGAGGGGGGGGAGCGATTTCGTAACTGAAACAGAGCCAAAGAAAAAAATCCCAAAGATGAAAAATTTATCCAACAGTTGCCTGAATTACGTTTTCCGTAATGAATACAGACAGAAATAACCGTCGTGTCTTGTTAAAGAAAAGAGAGAAACCCTTTTTCCCCCTTCTTTGATGGGTCTTCTTCTTCCTCTGTGTTCCTTGATGGGTTAGCGTTGAGCGCGTGAAGGGTTTTCTTTTCCGAAGCTCTATAACTTTTCCCCCTCTGGCTTTGTACTATTTGGAAGAAAGCTTTGGTTTCTCTTTTTCCTGTTTCATCTGGGTTTTTCGATGGCGAATGCGGATGGTGATTTCATGGGCTCTTCCATATCTGACGGAAGATCAGGTCAGTGAGAGAGTGAGTGAGTGAGAGAGAGAAGAAGTTCTGTTCTTGCGATTCTTTTGTAGTTGCTGAATGTCTAAATTAGGTAATGGATCCTAAGCGTGCTCCGTTTGGTTCCAGATAAAACGAGTTCTGTTGAACTAGGAAAGAAAAAAAATCTGCTTCCAAGCTGAACATAAGCTCTAGTTCATCTTCTGTATTGGCTTTCAATCAGATACATTTGTATTTCTTCCTGCATTTTCTGGGGAAACAAGCTCGAGGTCAACGTTTTTCTCGTCTTCTTTGTTTATTGATGAGCAAACAAGCTTAAAATGCTCCGACCCATTTCTTATTTTTCTTGTATTGGTTCAAATTAAGCTACTTTTTGCCGAATTTTGAAGTCTGGGTTTCGACTCATGATCTAGGTTTTGATCACGATGATCTGTATACGGAGCTGTGGAAAGCATGTGCAGGGCCTTTGGTGGAGGTCCCTGGTGTTGGAGAGAGGGTTTTCTACTTCCCACAGGGTCACATGGAACAAGTATCGTCCTTTTAGAAATTCAATAAAATGCAGAACAGAATCATGTTCTTTCTTTTTTAATCTCAGTTTCATCACTGAATTCTGCTGTTTTCTTCCTTTCTCTTACGGATATTTTGATTTTCTGGGTTTGCAGCTGGTGGCGTCAACTAATCAGGGGCTTGATGAGCATATTCCTCTTTTTAATCTTCCTGCCAAGATTCTTTGCCGGGTCCTCGGTGTCACGTTAAAGGTAATTTCATCATTGTCGCGTTCTTTGCCCCATTTTCCCTCCAATTTGGTGAGCATCTTCAGATGTTGTGATTATTACAGGCAGAGCATGAGACAGATGAAGTTTACGCTCAGATCACCTTAAAACCAGAGAACGATGTAAGTGTTAATCTTGACTTATGGATGTTTTCCCTTCTCTTGGGAAGAAAATTACCTGAAAAAATGCTTTATTTCAAGAAACTAATCTGCATTTGATTCTCAATTTTGCAGCAAAGTGAACTCACAAGCTCTGATCCACCCCTCCCTCAACCGCCTAAACAAGCTGTTCATTCGTTTGTTAAGATTCTCACAGCGTCAGACACGAGCACCCATGGTGGATTCTCTGTTCTGCGTAAACATGCCACTGAGTGCTTGCCTGCCCTGGTATCTTCCCCTCTCTTCCCTCGTACCCTCTTCATAGTATGACATTACTTTCTTTCTAGTTAAATGAACCTTGCTTGTCTTGGGTTATTCCATTGCTTAGGACATGACACAAGCTACTCCAGCTCAAGAACTGGTGGCCAGAGATCTTCTTGGGTTCGAGTGGAGGTTTAAGCATATATTCAGAGGTAGTATAACTCATCCCCCTTCTTATATATATCTCTAGGATTTTCTCTGGTTCAGATATTTTGTGAATAAAGAAAGAGTAGGAAACATATATTGGAACTGTTCTCTTGATCTTTGATGGAATTTAGAGGGACCGATCGTGTAGTTTGTCTTGATAGGGCAACCTAGGAGGCATCTGCTTACGACAGGATGGAGTACCTTTGTTACCTCGAAGAGACTAGTAGCTGGAGATGCCTTTGTGTTCTTGAGGTAGTTGAGCTCACATACTTGAGAATCTAACCTATCGGAATCTACTTCAATAACTCTGCGGTAACTCAGGATTTTGAAAAAATGCCAAGTTTAGGGGTGAAAATGGGGATTTACGGGTCGGGGTGAGACGTCTGGCCCGGCAGCAGAGCACGATGCCTTCGTCTGTTATTTCTAGTCAGAGCATGCATTTGGGAGTTCTTGCTACGGCTTCTCATGCTGTTTCTACCAAAACCCTGTTTGTAGTGTTTTACAAGCCTAGGTAAACGGTTCAACAATCGGTCATTCCCTAATTCATTGAGATTGGCTCAGCTTAAAGATAGTTTTTTATTTTCTTTCGGCTGCTTATCAGGATAAGCCAATTCATAGTAGGAGTCAACAAGTATATGGAGGCTGTGAAGCATTGCTTCTCTGTCGGTATGTGGTTCAGGATGAGATTTGAGGGAGAAGAGTCTCCTGAGAGAATGTAGATCTCTTTCTTTATCTCCTTGACTATCTTTTTTTTCTGTTAGTTGTAATGTTGTTTTCCAATGTTGAATCTGTAACGTCGATTTGTTTCTCTGTGTTTTTCAGTTTTACGGGTACTATTGTGGGGATCGGAGATCTATCTCCTCAGTGGCCAGATTCTAAATGGAGATCATTGCAGGTTAAGCTGCAAATCACTTACCTGAAATCATAATATATATGATTTCCCAATACTGTTTTATGTTCCTGACATGGGTTTGGGTTTTGGCAAAATATAATCTACACCTTTGTAGATTCAATGGGATGAGCCAGCGTCGGTTCAGAGACCAGACAGGGTCTCTCCATGGGAGATAGAACCTTTCTTGCCATCTCCATCGGTGGCAAGGCATTCTCAGCCTCAGCCTCAGCTCAAGTGTAAGCGGTCCAGACCCATCGATTCACCGATTTCAGGTACCTCTTTAAAAAAAGAAACAAGCCTCAGGAAATCACGTGTCTGCTTCCAATGACCATTCTTGACATAAAAACCTCTGTTTTATGTTTTCTTGCAGATATGGCAGCGAGTTCAGCTGCGTCTAATTTCATGTACGGCTTCCATCACGGCCATGAGCCCAATGCCTCCCTGACACTGTTCCAAGAATCATCATCAGCTGGTGGTTATTCCCCGTCTGTACTTTTTAAGCCCACAAACAACAGCATCACATCTGAGCAAAAACCGGAGACCCCCACGAGCTGTTTTAGGTTGTTTGGGTTCGATCTCACGAGCAAGCCCTCTGCTCCTACTCCCACTGACAAGGAACCAATCAGCATGCCACTGGACAGTACCTCTGGTTCTGCAAAGTGCCAAGATCCGAGCTTGGTGAAGGAGCAGAAGAAGCAAGATGCACCTGTTTCGTCATCATTACAGGGAAGGCAACAAGAGTCGGCTAACACTTCCACCAGGAGCCGAACCAAGGTACCACCTTGTTGTTTAACTAAACCCACAAAAAAAGGGAAAAACTTTCATAAAAGATCATTGAAAACGTCGGTTTCTGCATGATATGGGGAAGGTGCAAATGCAAGGTATGGCAGTAGGACGAGCTGTCGATCTGACAGTCTTGAGATCGTACGAGGAATTGATAGAAGAGTTAGAGAAGATGTTTGAGATGGAAGGACAGCTTCGTTCGCGGGACAAATGGGCTGTCGTTTTCACTGACGACGAGGGTGACATTATGCTCGCCGGCGATGATCCTTGGATGTAAGTTGGCTCACTCCATAAACAATGCCCAGAACTCTCTGTCTCTCTCTCTCTCTAAATGTCATCGTGTTTTTCTGGGTTTTATGCAGCGAGTTCTGTAAGATGGCGAAGAAGATATTCATATATTCGAGCGAGGAGGTGAAGAAAATGAGCACTAAATCGAAGGTATCGTCCTTGTCCATGGAGGGTGAGGGCACCATCGTAAGCCTCGATTCCGACCAGAGGCTCCTCAGTTAAAAGAGCTTTTTATATGGAAACATCACTTTGGTTTCTGCTTTTGTTTTGTTTTGTTTTTTTAATGTCTCACGTAACGAAATAAGTAGATGGTTTGTTAATTAATGTAAAAGACTCCCACTATTACGCTGTTGTATAAATTAGGACTCAATTGATTTTTCGACAGGAACAAAACAATTTCCGTGGCCGTCGACGTCGTCGTTTCGTTTTATGCTTTTTATTTTTTATTTTGTTTTATAGTATATTTTGGTGGGACACGTGGAATGATGAATCGCTTTCACCTGCACATCAGACGTGACCCTCAACGAATGTAACTAAAGTATATAGATTCATATGGACCGACCGGTTTGATTTGGTTTTAATTACATGGGAAATTTAGGTGTTTCTTTTAATTAGGTGATTTTATTCACTTTTAGAAAAAATGAGTTTGAATCTCAAGATAATTAATTAATTACTCCAAAATCAGAATATTGGTAGATTTTTCTTTCACACAGAGAAATTAACAAACATTTGATGGAGAGGCTGAATCATAAAAAGATTAGATAAATACACGCCTTCATAGTTACATTACATAGGGTAACTCTCATTATCTATATGTTTATTTAAACTTAATGATCCATAAAACCCAGACATGCGGTCTCAGCATGAAGGGAGAGGGCCGCCGCAGAGACAGTCGTTGCCGGAAAACGACGGAGCTTCCAGGCGGGCGAACGGCGGCGTACCCGCCGGGATGTGTCCGCAGAGGTGGTTGTGGCTCAGATCCACGTGGCCCACGTACTGTGCCGCAGACAAGCTCCGCGGCACATCGCCGACCAGATTGTTGTACGACAGATCCAACACCATCATGTACGATTTCGGCCCCAACACGTCCGGGATCTTCCCCTCCAATGCGTTCCTGCTCAGGTTCACGATCCCCAGACCGCCGTTGCTCAGCACCGTCGCCGGGATTTCGCCCGTCAATTGGTTCCCGCCCAGATTCAGCACCGACAGCACCCGCATCTTCCCCACCGTCTCCGGGATCTGACCCGACAATCGGTTCAGCGAGAGATCTAGGTCTGCGAGCCGATCCAGGCGCCCGATTGAACTTGGGATCGGACCACTGAGTTGGTTCCGGTCCATGAGTGCCCTGCTCAGCATTTTCAGCGAACCCAGATCGTTAGGGATCCGACCCGTCAGCCTGTTGCCGCTCAAATCCAGGTGCTTCAGCTCCGACAACGACGTTAGTGACGCCGGGATCTCGCCTGAGATCTGATTGTCGGCGAGATTCAGCACCGCAAGGCGCCGGAGATTCCCGATTGAAGGTGGGATCTTGCCCGAGAGGGAGTTGCCGACGAGGTCGAGGATGCGGAGGTAGGAGAGAGAGGTGAGGCAGGAGGGAATCTCTCCGGAGATAGATTTCCAGTCGGCGAGGACGAAGGTGGTGAGGCGGTCGAGGTTGCAGATGGAGGGATGGATGGAGCCGGACATGAGGCCGGTCCGACCAGCTTTCTCGAAGATCGGATCCTCAGAGTCTCCACGAAGAGAGATGTCGGAGACGCGGCGGTTTGCCGGGTCGCAGTGGACGCCGTCCCAGCCGCTGCAACAGTCGGAGTTTGGGGTCCATGAATCGAAAATGCGGGGAA